CTCAGGCTGCTGTGAAAGCAGGAGTTAACTCACGGTAAGTGCCGGGAACAGAGTCCGGTACATTCCAAGTGCTTGGAAAATGCTATCATTACCATATTATTGTTTTTATGGACAAGCCACCCCTGACCCTAATTTTTATTGGTCTCACCTGTAAACATGAGTGGACAAAAAGCCATTGCCAATTGGAGACTAAGGGCCAACAGAAAGCAAAGATGCGCGAGCTGCTGGCGCCACCTACTGGTGAACGCTGGAATTTGGAATTTGTTAATGTAGCCTGAAGGCGCGGCACCTCCCTTTCATCCTGGGAAAGGGACTCGCAGGTCTTGGGCATCTTCTGGGCACTGTGCTAGGCATCTTACAAAAGCAACCCTAGACAACTGTCACAGCAACTCTCTGTAGCAGGGTATGTGGGCCCGGCTTACTGATAAAGACATGAGGTGAATTGGGAAGGTTTTTTATTTTTTAATTCAACAAGATGACCTCTGCCCCTTGGGTAAGTGGATGTGCAGTGGACACTGGGAGTAAGTGGGGCAGTGGCGCTCCCACTAGGCAGGGAGATCACACTCACACACACATACACACTCACATATACATGCATATATACACATTCAAATGCACACACACAAAATGCAGGTACACACACAATACACCTACATATGCACATGCAGAGACATAAATGCATACATAGGCATGCATGCAAACACACATATACACACATATACGCACATAACACATGCACAGACATGTACAAATATATACACATACACATTGCACATTCAATAGGCAAAATATGTATATGTACACACATACAAATGCATGTACACATATAAACATATTGTTATGGATTGAAGTGTGTTGCCCAAAAGGTGTGTTGATGTCCTAATCCTTAAACCTGTGAATTTGACCTTCTGTGGAAATTGGGGTGTTCTTTTGTTAGTGAGGACCTATCAGAGTAGGGTGGGTCCTAATCCCTTCTGAGTGGTGTCTCATAAATGGGGCAAATAGACACGGAGCCAGTCACACCCAGAGGAGATGCCATGCAAAGAGCGAGCTTCAAAGGCAGGCCAAGGATCCGGGAGAGGCCTGGGGCAGCCTCCGGCAGAGCCTGGCAGAGCCTGTCAGAGCCTTTGGCAGGAACTCAGCAGCCCCGAACTGGACTTGTATTCCCCAGAACTGAAGACTGAACGGTTCTGTTTTTAAAACCACTCACTTTGCGATATATTGTTAAGGCAGCCACAGGGAACAAAGACGCCCACATACACATAACATGCACGATGCATGCGTGTGTGCATCTTCATACACATACACATGTGAAATACACTCTCATGTACACATGCACACACATGAACATGCACACACATGCATGCACTTGGACGTCTGGGAACCCCCTGGCAGAAGTTAGTGAAGGGCCTAAGGGAAAGGTGGGTAGTCAGCGGAAGTGAGAAGACAGGATCACTGACTGCACGGGACCAAGGCGGCCTTGGAGCCGCGAGGCTGCTCAGGGCAAGGTGGTCCTGGAGATGGTCGGCAGAGACAGACAAGCTCTGACGGGAGCTGGAAAGGCGGGAGGCTGTGCCCCAAGTGGCAGCTGTGAGGATGCACCGTGAGGCCTATGAGCCACGGGGGAAACTCGTGAGGCAGCTTCAGTGCTGTCCATTCAGGCAAAGAGTGAACAGATCTCAGGACACCAGCACTGGAGACCCCTGGGCCAGCTTAGCAAGAGGGAGCGCTCGCCTGCAGCTGAGTGGAAGGTATGAGCTGTGAAACGGCACACTTCACATAACGGTACCACATGCCCATGTTTCCAGGGGCGCCTATGTATGTATACAAATGCAGAAAAAGGGTCTGCAAGGATCTGAGGGAGAAATTGAACCCACAGGTTCCAGCCGTACCTGTTTTAAGAGCTTAATGTTGCCTATGCCCTAAAAAGGAATGCAAATGAGGAGTGAGAGGTAGAGCCTGCAGAAGGGTGGAGAGAGCCAAGGCCAGGTGTCTGGCCCTGCAGCACAGCACATGTGTACGTGTATATGCACACATGTGTGTGCATATGCATGTATGTGCATGTGGCCCGCCGGCACTAACATGGGTTCCAGCGGAGACCCATGTGTGAACTGGATGTGCTCATTCCTTGGGTGGGAAGTGACAGGTAGGCGTGGACTGAAATCACCCAGCACATTCTGGGGCTTCAGATGGGCAGTGGGTCAGTCTTTGCTGCTTTGTGGTTTTACTTGTTGCTCAGACCTGTGCCACCTTCATGGCTGGTGCTCTGCCCAAGTGCACTGTTGCAGCCACTGTGTTTCGGGGCCTCCAACCCAGGGGCTCACCTGCCGGCACTGGCGCACGCTGCGCTGTCGTGACCCACAGGGTTTCCGTCCTCATCTTAGTCTGGAAGCTGTGCCGATTCCCGCCCACCGTGGCTGACGTTGCTGGTACAGTATCAGTAATGGAGCTTCCACTCTCCAACAACACGCAAGCCGCCAGTGCGACCAACTGACAGACGATTTATTTGGTAGTCAGTATTTAATATTCCTCGTAGTCAGTATTTAATACTCCATGAAGACTAAGGTGCGTCTACCCCAGGTCATGGTATTTTCAGTCGCCTCATATGCATGTGAGAGCTGGACAATGAATAAGGAAGACACAAGAGTCAATGCTTTTGAGCCGTGGGGTGAAGAATGCTGACAGTACCATGGGTGCCAGAAGAACTAACAAACCTGTCCTGGAAGAATTGCAGCCAGAACGCTCCTCGGAAACGAGAATGGCCAGACTTCATCTCACCTGCTTTGCTCATATTGTCAGAAGGGACCATTCCCTGGAGAAGGATCTCACGCTTGGTAAAGTGGAGGGTCAGCAAAAAAGGGGAAGGCCCTCAACGAGATGCACTGAGACAGTGGCTGCAAGGATGGGCTCAGGTACAGCAGGGATTGTTGGGTCTGGCACACGACCAGGCGTTGTTCTGTTCTGTCGTACACACGGTCGTTTTGAGTTGGAGACAATTAGATGGCACCTACCAACAATAACATTTAATATATACATACACCTTTTTTTTTCCTTCAAAATTTGACTTCTTCACATTTTCCTTTGCCACAGTCACCACACTCTGTAGTCTCTGAGACCTCTTTCTCATATGGACGTTCCCTCGGCCCATGGAGGCAGATGAGCTCACCATTTCAGATGGCGTTCTGTGATTTCTGAGTAAGTGACCAGAGCTCGGATGGGCAGAGCCGCCGTGGGTAGAGGGCCAGGAGGCAGCTGGGTGGGTGGAAGGGGCAGCTGGGTGGTGCGGGGACGAGGGGACTGAAGAGGGGCTGCTCCTGGAAGGTGGGGTGACGCTGTTCCCAGAAGCCCTGACGGCGGCACCCTGGGCCCCATGCCGCATCTCCTTTAGGGGGCCCAGGATACACACTATGCGGGGTGCAGCACTTGTTTGCAGCTCACCTGGCCCTCCCTGAGGGAGATGTTCTAGCCCCATTTTTCAGATGAGAAAACGAAGGCTCTGATGTGGTAATGTCAGGACCAGTATCTCAAGTCACAGCTGCAGGACTCCCACATCTGTCTTCCTTCCACTACTCAGGGCACCCCCAGATAATCTGTGTTTGTAGTCTGTTTATAAAGCACATCCCATCTGTTCTTCTACTCGATCTCTGCAGAAAATCCCACAGAACTCTTTTCCTTGAGTGGAAAAAGTCCCGATTCCCAATCCTATGCCCCATCTTTGCCCCTCCTCACCCAGGACCCTGGTCCCTGTAGAGAGAGGATGGAACAGGGTTGGAGGCTGGGCCACATCAGGTGTCACCAGGTCAAACATCCCCCACAAGTGAATGACGGGACACCCAGAGCCCGGGGACGGGGCAATGTGTCTGGAAAGCCACCGCAGGGAGCTGCCTCCACTTGGCCCCTGAGGGTCGCTTGCAAAAACGTCCCCGTGTTGCCTGATCTTCCCATTTTTCCAAGAGAACAGAGAAATGTGCATTTCTCAAAAACATGAACCCCATATTTTTTAAATGTTGGCAACTAACTAAAAAAAAGTAT